TCAAGTGTTGCCTGGTAAAACCTCTATGACATGCTCTAATCTTTGTCCGATATTGTTGCTAAATTATCAATTATATCTATGCAGAATGATTAATAGAAATTAATCATAGTAATATAGGTAATTAATAGTTTGCAACTAATAAAAATATGTTACCAGAGTAGTATTGGGAAATGCTGATTTGCAAGTGGGACAAGTAACAGGATTATGAACTGTAGCATATCGCTTTAAACAGTGTAAATGTAACATAGCCTGACAATTGTTACATCTCTCACCCTACATAAAATGAAAAAGATTTTAGTTCTAAGTTTAACTAGACAATTGTACAAATCCATTAAACAAACTTACATGAAAAATAGCTTGTTTACAAAGACAGCAGGTACTTAAATTGCTTTTATAAGTAACTCTAAAATATGGCATTAATTCTGTTATACTCCTTACACCCATATAATAATTACCATTCTATAAATAATATAATGTATGTAAAGAGTAAAGATACGTACTATATAAAAATGTTGTTTACTATACTATTATTACCTTATAAGCTAACCATTTTCTATCAACCATGTCATTTAAAAATTCTTCAGCTTCTGCTTTCGACATCTTAACATCCTCTAATGAACATAAATTAAGGCAAAACATACTTTTTACAGACCCATCGTTCGATGTTATGATTTCAGAAAATACGTTTCTTAACAAAGCTAATTGCATTTCTGAAAATTCATCTTGATATCTGGAATAATTAATAGGTGAAAAAGAAATTAATATCGATACAATTTAAATTACATACCTGGTTACTTCGTCGAGCTCTGTATTTGCAAAAATCCAAAACAATTCACCTGTAATTTCGCACTCACATCTTTTGATTAACATATCCAAGGGCTGTAGTTGCTCATTTATCTGATTTATGATAAGTGGCACGTTATCAACGTCTAAAACATATAATTTGATTTGTAAACATACTATCTTGTGCATTTTACAAATATATAAGCTTAGCTTAACCGCAAAATTAAACTGGTTTACCAAATAATTTAATAACTAATTCTTTTGCATTATTCTCATCAAGAACACCTTCGTGCACAAATGTTTGTAAAAGTATTTTGTGTTTTTGTGTATACTCCATCTTTTGTAATATTATTATTACTGAACCTGACACCAAACAAGAAGATACTTGACAAACAAACGAATTTAAACGAGTGAGAAAGCACTAATGGAATATGATAAGCCACGAAACAGGATCTTCTTATTCGGTGTCAACTATACATTCTTTAATTGATTTTATTATATTTTTATTTTGCATAATATAGTTACAAATATAGTTACAAATGTAGTTAATATAGTTACTTTATTATTATATAACGTACAATTGTATATTCCGTGCATTTGAAATACGCGCCAACATTGCATGATCTATGCTTTAAAATTTAAATTTGCAAGAAATTACCCATAAGTCCACAGACGTATTAATTGCGCATGCGCATTAAAACTGTTTGCAACTTTGTGTAAATATATCATACCTATTTTGGATTCGAATATTATAATTTTTTTTTAATCTATACGTTATTTTTCACTGTATGACATATGATTGCTTATCAGTGTTCACTTTAAAAGTAAAAAAGATTTAAAACAAAGGAAATAGGTATGTTCATACGTACGGCTCTAGCTTTCTGTCACAGAGAAATCTTTGAGAACCGCTGCTGCGGCGTGCTGTGCTTTCACTGCATTATTATCGACGGATAGAAGTTAGATTCGAATACTGCAGTATCGTAAGAAAAAATTGGGGGGATGACGAAATCATACCGCATCGATGATATGTATGTACATATGTACCTGTTTAGATCTAAGGTGAAGATTTTCATCGTACGGTCAATAAACTGTCTGGCTACAGCAGAGAAGTCCATAATTTCTCTTTCTTACAAATTACAGTTTAAATAATTCTCGAATTTTCGGAAACAATCCTGAATTTACGAAGGAAGGTTTTATTTGTGGTATTTCCAAGTTCATTTACTTATCATATCGTTATAGCTTCTACAATGTGTTCAATTAAATTAAGAATTTTAATCGATTACAGAATCGCGGGAGGCGGGAATATTTGAATGAGAGCAATTAAACGAGATTAAAATAACAAACGAGAATGCGGTAGACGTTTAAAGTCCTCTGTCGGCAAATTCGCAAATCATCTGTAGATTCGCCAAAAAAATAAGATCCGTCCATGTACTACATACATATTAAGATGTATTTATTGGAAATGATAAAAGGGAATACGGTTGTACGGTTGTGTATACGATAAACCAGGGTAAACAGAACTGCATACAGCATAGATACATATACGTGGGACGTATGTGTATTTTTTAGTTGTATAGTAGAGACTGTACAGCAAGGGCGCGAGGCCGCGACCCTGAGCCCGATACAACCGACGCGTCGCGACGCGGAATAGAGCGTTTCGGTAGCGAAATAGTGCGCGGAACGAATACGTGTCAAACACGGTCCACGAATAAGCAAAGTGGAACATCGTGCAAGCAAAGACACGGGTGTGCGTTATCGTTTACGTGCGTAAAGGTCGAGAGTTCATGATCATTCGGCAACTGACAAACGATGATCTTACGAGGCGTTTGACGACCGTCTTTCCTCTCTTCGTTCCTCACTGCCAAATGATCAGAGCCTAGCTAGAATCATCGCAGCAGACAAGGAACTTTCGTTCAGCCGATTTTCGTTAACGTGAGCAGATAACCTGTCAGTAGTCGGCAGCTTGTACCAACGAAATTAAGGAAACACGTTAGCAAGTCGAATTTAGCGATAATTGTGAGTTACTGCGGCAGCAGACATCGAGAATGCCGCTTTTCAGTAAAAAGGACCCGAATAAGAAGATCAAAAAAGATGGAAAAGACGACAAATCCCCGTCCATTGAGAACAAATACATCTTGAAGGAGATGCTCGGAACGTATGTATTTTGCGTTGATTACGAATACGAATTATCATTGAAATAAACAGGATTCAACTACAAAGAAATATTTTCTAGTGTTATGTACTAAATTTGACCACTATTTATAACAAAATTTATATACAATACTGTTAAGATGTACATATGCATACTATATATATGCATAAGTATTTTACACATATATCTTGTTCTATACATGTATGATATTTTATATGTATAGTACATAAATTTATATCAACTATTCTACACCTATGCCAATTATATAAATAATTCCAAGCCTTTTTAACATTTATATATTCTTAAAATAATTCTATTCGTTGCTTCAATTATCATTATAATATTTTTATGAGAAATGTACCTTAACATGGATCTAGTGTAATATGTATAAATATTGAAGCTGTAAAACATTTTCGGACATAAGTTTATATGAACTTTTTTCATACATTTGACCTTAGTAACATGTAGTATAAGTTTGGCCCAAA